TCCGGTCCCGGCCTTCACTTCAAGCCCATCTGCCCCACTTCATACCGAACGAAGTCCCTTCCCACCAAAGCCAGGCCTCTCTCCGGCCTCGCTCGAATCCGTTGGACGTTAACGCCTCCCCCGCAATGGGCGGGAGGAAGGGCTGCAGCTTCCGGCGGCAAATGGCAGGGCAGCGCGTGGCGCTGCGCGCTCTCTTCGGCACGGGCCTGCTGCGTGCGCCGGCCCATCTCCGCCGCCGTTACGGGCTTCCCAGCCCCAGCAGTGCCCATTGGGCCGGCCCAAAGGGTGTCCGCGGTGCCGAAGTGAAGTGTTCCGAGTGGGGGAGGGGAAGAGACACCGAACCATTTATGCTAATCAGTGCGCACGTCCTTTACGGAGATTGGCCAGGGTTTTACTCTAGAAGCCAATCACTTCAGAACAAGGGTGGGCCCGTCGAGATCTCTCACACTCATTGGCTGGAAGGTTGCGGCGCTAGGGGAGAGTTTAAAACAAGAGTATCCGGGATTATTTTTTTCCCTGCCGTGCGGTGCGTGTCCCGGAAGTGACGCATGGCCCTGGCCGGGCGGCCGCCCTGCCCCCGCTTCCTTTCACGCCGTCGCTGCCCGTAGGTGGTTGTGGCCACTGTGCCTGGAGGGAGGCGGCGGCGGCCAGTAATGCCTGGGAAACTCCTCTGGGGGGACATTATGGAGCTGGAAGCACCCTTGGAGGAGTCCGAGAATCAGAGGAAGGAGAGGCAAAAGGTGCGCTGAGGAAGGGCCGCGCCTCCTTTTGGGCTGCGCCGGCTTGGGCGGGGAGGGAAACTGTCCCTGATGATGGCCTGTCAGAACCCGGCCGGAGCATCCGAGGGCCTCCTCTCGCGCCGCCCTCGGCCTTGTGAGGTCGCTCAGGGACCATTCCCACTTCCACGCTCCCGACCTGGAGAAGGACAGTCTTGGGCTTTGGGCCGGCCGCCCTGGCCCCTCATCCCTTCCCGTTGGCACCTGAATCTTTCCTAAAAGATGGGCAGACTCAAGCTCCCGTCACAACGAAATCTGTTCTTTCTTTCCTTTCTCAAGCAGCAAGGCCTGTCCTTTGGTTCTCATTGGCGTCTTAGAAGATGATCACGAAAAATGATGGCCTTGAATATGTGTTGCTTCTCTGTCACCCTGTCCTGTGTGCGAGAATCTTGAGGAAAGATTTTTTTACAAACCTCGATAACTAGTCTGTAGAGGCTTAAGGAAAAGTGTCAGCGTTGCCACGGTTTGTGAGTGATGGAGATTGTGTGGGTTGTATTATTGATAGCCCTCGCTGTCAGTATTTTCATTCAATCTGCAGGTATTTATTGAGCCTAATTTGTACCATATTCTTTGCTGAGCACCAAGGAGTTTAAACTAAATAAGTATAAGAAATGGCCCCTACCCTCAAGGTGCCTGTAGAGGAGTTGTGGAGACTTTTCTTCCCCTGCCTTCCAAAAAAAAGGAAAAGAAAAGGGTGGGGAAATCCCAGAATAATTAGAGAATCACATGGTGCTGAAAAATGCACAGGTATTTGACCTAGAGAAAAGAAAACAGAGCCGAGGAGGCTAAGGTGGCAGTATTTGAAGGCTGACGTTTGACAAAACAAATGAGCCTTGTTTTATATAGTCTTAGAGAGCACAATCTACCCCTCTGACCTTATCATTAAGGTAAACTTGCCATTCCAGCCAGTTTTCTTTTATTGTGGTAAAATACACCTACCTTAAAATTTACCATATTAACCGTTTTTAAGTGTATAGTTCTGTGGCATTAAGTATATTTACATTGTTCTGCAACCATAACTACCATCTGTCTCCAGAACTTTTTCATCATCCCAAACTGAAACTCTGTGCCCACTAAATACTAACTCCCATTTTGCTCTCTTCCCACCCTTGGCAACCATCATTCTACTTTCTGTCTCTATGAATTTGACTACTGTAGGTACCTAGAGTAGAGTGTAAGTGGAATCACCAAGCAGTTATTTTAATTTTGGCTCGTCTTGAAATACTTGTCTTTCCTTATGCATCCAAATCCTATCCCTCTGTCAAGGTCTAGTCTTTTCTAACCACTCTAGTGTACAGTAATCTCATTCCCCTTTGAATTCTTGCTCCAGTAACTTTGTCATTCAATTGGTATTTGTTATGTGCTTCCTTGTAAAGTTAGCTCATTTTTCCTGTGTGTATCTTTTCCAAAGATTTCTCAAAGATTCTTAAGGAAAATGACCGTATCTTTGTCCATCCTTACATTTCACTATATTCTTGTAAGCTGATAGCTTTCATGTTGTCAGTTCTCCAGAAATACTTGTTGATTCCCCTTTAACTATGAAAGATAACTGGAGATTAGGAAATGATTGGATTGGAATACCAACTAATAGAAATAGAACATGACAATAGTGGTCTGGTATTGAGACGAAGGTAACTTTGGTTTGGATGTGTTGAGATATGCAACTGGTCCTTAGGTTCTTAGACTTGGAATGCAGGTGAGGAACGGAGTCTGAAAGTGTTGAAGCTATGAAAATGGTATGAAAGAATACAGAAAGATTTAAGGAGCATCCACAGAAGGGGGAGGGAGAGGAACCATTGAAGAAGATGTGATAGGCCGGGCTTGGTAGCTCACGCCTGTAATCCTAGCACTCTGGGAGGCCAAGGCGGGAGGATTGCTTGAGCTCAGGAGTTCGAGACCAGCCTGAGCAAGAGCGAGACTCCATCTCTACTAAAAATAGAAAGAAATTAGCTGGACAATTAAAAATATATATAAAAAATTAGCCGGGCATGGTGGTGCATGCCTGTAGTC